ATTTTTAAGACGTTCGTGGACTTCTCTTGATAAAATTTTTGTTGGGTCTTGACTGTTGACTGAATTAATAATAAGAAAAAGGAGCACGAATGACACGGTGTTCATTTTCAGGTATTATGTCCAAATGTAGTTTAAATTAATAATAGTAATTTTCCGTTTGTTGTTTTATTTGACTTCAATTAAAAATCCATTTTATTTTTATAGTGAAACTAATTAAAAATATTAAACAACTTTAATTATTTTTTTGGTTAAAAGTTTGTTTATAAAATAATTTTTTGTTTTGTTTTTAACTTTCATTTATATTAAACAATTCATTTTTAAGTTATTTTAGAAGTATTGAATTAACATTTTCAATTGTTGTTTGTGGAGTTAGTTAATATATGAAATTGACAAAAATAACTAATTTTTGTGTTTAAAAACATGAATTAGGTAAAAATAAAAAAGTTAAATATTGAAACGACCTTTTCCCAATATAGTACAAATATAATTATCCAGAATTTGAAAGACAACGTTTCAGGCTTAACAAAGTTTTTGAAAATATACCGTGTTTATTTTTAATATGACAACAACTCAAAAAAATCTTAAATGTGTTAATTCTATGATATTTGTTATATTTTCAATTTATGAAACACATTTAATTATTAAAAATAAATAATTATTATCATTTTACAAGAAAATGTTACACTAATTTCAAATTTTAAAAATGTTTTAAATATAATTCGAAAAGTTTTTAATATATCATGTATTCAGTTAAACACATTTTTATACATTTAAATATTATTGATGGTTACTCAATTAAGAATTAAAATCTTTTTTAAAGTCTTGTTCCTCTCACTGTATCTCTATTGAAACTATCTCTATGGATTTGTCTACTTCTTCCCACAACTTCCATATGATGTTCACCTTCTGTTCTTGGTCTTCTTAATCTAGCTGCAGGTTCGTAGGGTCTTGGTGGAACTGCTTGTTGATTACAAAGTAACAAAATATTTTGTATTTTTAAAAGAGCATCTGAAAACGGCCCATGACCACCAAATCCTCTTAGATGACTTAAAGTCATGAAAAGAGTATTATACTTTGAAAGGAGAGATAAAGGTGACATCAAAACAACAATAGGTTTCTGTTTGATTGTCTCTGACAACCAAAACGTTTTCTCACTTGGTCAGTGTAAGTATTGGTATTTGATATGACATTTAAGTATGTTCCTTGAACTGTACCCCTATCAGGAGAAATGATG